CAATGTTGAAGCTTATAATGTTGGATTCCAGACTTTCCTGCTCAAAAATTGCCCAGCTTTGATGAGATCAAGTCGATGGATATCACTGATCCATTTTGGAATATGGGCCACCTTACACATCCCGACGAGCCCTGGGCAGTTGACTTGGATACACAGACCGGGATCCAGGCTTTTCGTACAGCAAGAAGTGGCGAGGAGGAAGTTGAGCGAATTGCCTGTGAAGTACACAACATGGTTCGATGTGCTTTATTACTGGAGGAACGATTATTGGGCTTGCTCGCACTGAGTGAGATGCGTGAGTTTAAGTACTTTGTCAACTTACTTGTTGAACGCTGACAGTTCTTCTTTGTGTATGTAGCTTGGGTGGACGGCTGTCCAAATGGACAACGTCCGGTTGAGCTGGTTCAACGCAGTGGCCTTATTTCAAAGGTATCGTGGGAAACGAGTCAAGCCGTTCTCAAAGCCTTGCACAGCGAGCTCGTGATGAAATACTGCCGAACTTGGTTGATCTGGAATAGTCAGATTCCCTCGCTGATTCAAAGAACCGCACAATACTCGACTAGCAGTGTTGAAGAGGTCAATTTGTTGGTCTCGAAGTGGGGTGCATTGATTCAAAAGTCGAAAAGCACCTGGGAGAAAACCGTACACTGCTGCTCGATTGTTTCGCGACCACTTGATGAATTAGAATTGATTGAACAGGCTTTGTTGTTAGGTGATGGACAGGTTGAATAAAATGATTGGAATGTGTAGTTTGACTGGTTGCTGTTTTATTTATGAATGATAAAGTTGATGATGATGAAATAGATTCTGAAGTTTGACACAGTTGATCTATTAAATGATGTTCAATCAGTATATTGGTGATCGTTAGTGAGAGTGTATTGAGTCGTAAGGAGTGTTCGTCTTGAGTAGAACACTGCTTGCTTGCCTTCTCCAAAGGCCTTGGAGTTAGCCTCAGTTTTGAAACCGAAGCTAAATCCAAGGTCACTGAAGAAGGCAAGCAAGTTTGCACTGTGAATTGTGTATCGATTTAGCTGGTGGATTTCTTGACGAAGTGCAACGAGAGTTGGTCTCGTTCGACTTGAGTTTGGTTTGAGAGTGATGATCAACTGATCATTGGTTTAAATGTGGCTGACTGCATAGATCGGTTGAGGTGGCTGTGTGGTGGTGGGTTGAGATCGATTCTGTTTATTTTTGATAAGTTGAAATTTTGAAAACCAAGTCCAGACTGGTTGGAGTGAGTGGTGAAGTGTAGCAAGACCAGTCTGGCTGATGTCTTCGTGAGGGATCTTCAAGTGCGGTTTTGTGATATGAGCCCAGACTGATCTGCGAGGAGGTGTCAGACCGGTCTGTGGGGTCTTTGCCAAATGATGTGGACAGACTGGTCTGGGTCTGAGGGAGTACAGACCGGTCTGGTGAGTACAGACCGGTCTGCAAGGACTTCTCCGGTCTGCATGAATTTCAGCGACCAGATCGGTCTGGTAGTGACTTGTAGTCCCTACGAAAAACCGATCTGGGCGAGCTGACCGATCTGATAACAATCTTACGGTCTGATACCTACGGAGTCCCTGAGCGGGGGGGGTGTGACACACACATCGCACACAAAAAACACAAAATCCAATACACCACTACATATGTAACTATGTAACACAGCTGTCACATCCATGTTTTTCTAGAGTCTACCTCAACCTTTGCCGGTCCATTCCTCCAAGTTACACTTTGGAATACGTTTTAACCCATTTACTTGCACCAAACGGCAACAAAATTTCTTACGCAGCCCTTACTATGGCACCAGACCCCGAATTGGACCGACTTTTAACTAAAATGAGCGAGGAAGGACATACTCGAGCCCACATGATGGAGTATCTTGTACTGGAGAAGAATTACACTATTTGTCTTCGAACTATTTCACGTCATCTGAAGAGGCTTGGCTTAAGTACTATGCAACCTCATCTCACCAAGGAAGAGAAAGATAAGTGTCTGCTGCTCATGAAGCTGTACCATACAAGACGTTGGCAACAAAACGAAGTTGTTCGAGTGATTCAAAATCGACATCAAATGCCTCTATTCAGTATGACGATGCTTAAAACACTTTCAAAGCGGTCAGGATTACACTGGCGCAAAGACGATATTGAACTCGGTATTATCACTCCAGAGGAAGCAGCTGAAAAGATCCTTAAACGCAAGCAAGGTGGTGAAGAGAATGCTGGCTTTGGACGTATGGCTCATGTCATGGCAACTGCAGAATCAGTACGGCTGAATCGAAACTCAGTTGGAGAGCTTCTTGCAATAGTTGATACTGAAGGTG